GTTTTCTTGTATCTACGAACGCCAGAATGCATAAAATTGACCTAAACGTCTCCTTTTCCTATTCTGAGTCGATTCTGCATGCTTTAAGTGTGTTTGGTGGCTCAGAACCATCAAAAAACGTTGAAATATAGTTCAAATTCAATAACAATCGACAAAAATACAGATTCTAGCTAAAATTTGATGGTTTCGTTGCACTTTCCGAGCCCGTAGGGTATCTGAGTGGCTTAAAAGTACAAGAAAACACTTCAAAAGTGACGTTTCTGATGAATTTTAACAGTTTTCTTGTATCTACGAACGCCAGAATGCATAAAATTGACCTAAACGTCTCCTTTTCCTATTCTGAGTCGATTCTGCATGCTTTAAGTGTGTTTGGTGGCTCAGAACCATCAAAAAACGTTGAAATATAGTTCAAATTCAATAAAAATCGACAAAAATACAGTTTCTAGCTAAAATTTGATGGTTTCGTTGCACTTTCCGAGCCCGTAGAGTATCTGAGTGGCTTAAAAGTACAAGAAAACACTTCAAAAGTGACGTTTCTGAAGAATTTTAACAGTTTTCTTGTATCTACGAACGCCAGAATGCATAAAATTGACCTAAACGTCTCCTTTTCCTATTCTGAGTCGATTCTGCATGCTTTAAGTGTGTTTGGTGGCTCAGAACCATCAAAAAACGTTGAAATATAGTTCAAATTCAATAAAAATCGACAAAAATACAGTTTCTAGCTAAAATTTGATGGTTTCGTTGCACTTTCCGAGCCCGTAGGGTATCTGAGTGGCTTAAAAGTACAAGAAAACACTTCAAAAGTGACGTTTCTGAAGAATTTTAACAGTTTTCTTGTATCTACGAACGCCAGAATGCATAAAATTGACCTAAACGTCTCCTTTTCCTATTCTGAGTCGATTCTGCATGCTTTAAGTGTGTTTGGTGGCTCAGAACCATCAAAAAACGTTGAAATATAGTTCAAATTCAATAAAAATCGACAAAAATACAGTTTCTAGCTAAAATTTGATGGTTTCGTTGCACTTTCCGAGCCCGTAGGGTATCTGAGTGGCTTAAAAGTACAAGAAAACACTTCAAAAGTGACGTTTCTGAAGAATTTTAACGGTTTTCTTGTATCTACGAACGCCAGAATGCATAAAATTGACCTAAACGTCTCCTTTTCCTATTCTGAGTCGATTCTGCATGCTTTAAGTGTGTTTGGTGGCTCAGAACCATCAAAAAACGTTGAAATATAGTTCAAATTCAATAAAAATCGACAAAAATACAGTTTCTAGCTAAAATTTGATGGTTTCGGTGCACTTTCCGAGCCCGTAGGATATCTGAGTGGCTTAAAAGTACAAGAAAACACTTCAAAAGTGACGTTTCTGAAGAATTTTAATAGTTTTCTTGTATCTACGAACGCCAGAATGCATAAAATTGACCTAAACGTCTCCTTTTCCTATTCTGAGTCGATTCTGCATGCTTTAAGTGTGTTTGGTGGCTCAGAACCATCAAAAAACGTTGAAATATAGTTCAAATTCAATAAAAATCGACAAAAATACAGTTTCTAGCTAAAATTTGATGGTTTCGTTGCACTTTCCGAGCCCGTAGGGTATCTGAGTGGCTTAAAAGTACATGAAAACACTTCAAAAGTGACGTTTCTGAAGAATTTTAACAGTTTTCTTGTATCTACGAACGCCAGAATGCATAAAATTGACTTAAACGTCTCCTTTTCCTATTCTGAGTCGATTCTGCATGCTTTAAGTGTGTTTGGTGGCTCAGAACCATCAAAAAACGTTGAAATATAGTTCAAATTCAATAAAAATCGACAAAAATACAGTTTCTAGCTAAAATTTGATGGTTTCGTTGCACTTTCTGAGCCCGTAGGGTATCTGAGTGGCTTAAAAGTACAAGAAAACACTTCAAAAGTGACGTTTCTGAAGAATTTTAACAGTTTTCTTGTATCTACGAACGCCAGAATGCATAAAATTGACCTAAACGTCTCCTTTTCCTATTCTGAGTCGATTCTGCATGCTTTAAGTGTGTTTGGTGGCTCAGAACCATCAAAAAACGTTGAAATATAGTTCAAATTCAATAAAAATCGACAAAAATACAGTTTCTAGCTAAAATTTGATGGTTTCGTTGCACTTTTCGAGCCCATAGGGTATCTGAGTGGCTTAAAAGTACAAGAAAACACTTCAAAAGTGACGTTTCTGAATAATTTTAACAGTTTTCTTGTATCTACGAACGCCAGAATGCATAAAATTGACCTAAACGTCTCCTTTTCCTATTCTGAGTCGATTCTGCATGCTTTAAGTGTGTTTGGTGGCTCAGAACCATCAAAAAACTTTGAAATATAGTTCAAATTCAATAAAAATCGACAAAAATACAGTTTCTAGCTAAAATTTGATGGTTTCGCTGCACTTTCCGAGCCCGTTGGGTATCTGAGTGGCTTACAAGTACAAGAAAACACTTCAAAAGTGACGTTTCTGAAGAATTTTAACAGTTTTCTTGTATCTACGAACGCCAGAATGCATAAAATTGACCTAAACGTCTCCTTTTCCTATTCTGAGTCGATTCTGCATGCTTTAAGTGTGTTTGGTGGATCAGAACCATCAAAAAACGTTGAAATATAGTTCAAATTCAATAAAAATCGACAAAAATACAGTTTCTAGCTAAAATTTGATGGTTTCGTTGCACTTTCCGAGCCCGTAGGGTATCTGAGTGGCTTAAAAGTACAAGAAAACACTTCAAAAGTGACGTTTCTGAAGAATTTTAACAGTTTTCTTGTATCTGCGAACGCCAGAATGCATAAAATTGACCTAAACGTCTCCTTTTCCTATTCTGAGTCGATTCTGCATGCTTTAAGTGTGTTTGGTGGCTCAGAACCATCAAAAAACGTTGAAATATAGTTCAAATTCAATAAAAATCGACAAAAATACAGTTTCTAGCTAAAATTTGATGGTTTCGTTGCACTTTCCGAGCCCGTAGGGTATCTGAGTGGCTTAAAAGTACAAGAAAACACTTCAAAAGTGACGTTTCTGAAGAATTTTAACAGTTTTCTTGTATCTACGAACGCCAGAATGCATAAAATTGACCTAAACGTCTCCTTTTCCTATTCTGAGTCGATTCTGCATGCTTTAAGTGTGTTTGGTGGCTCAGAACCATCAAAAAACGTTGAAATATAGTTCAAATTCAATAAAAATCGACAAAAATACAGTTTCTAGCTAAAATTTGATGGTTTCGTTGCACTTTCCGAGCCCGTAGGGTATCTGAGTGGCTTAAAAGTATAAGAAAACACTTCAAAAGTGACGTTTCTGAAGAATTTTAACAGTTTTCTTGTATCTACGAACGCCAGAATGCATAAAACTGACCTAAACGTCTCCTTTTCCTATTCTGAGTCGATTCTGCATGCTTTAAGTGTGTTTGGTGGCTCAGAACCATCAAAAAACGTTGAAATATAGTTCAAATTCAATAAAAATCGACAAAAATACAGTTTCTAGCTAAAATTTGATGGTTTCGTTGCACTTTCCGAGCCCGTAGGGTATCTGAGTGGCTTAAAAGTACAAGAAAACACTTCAAAAGTGACGTTTCTGAAGAATTTTAACAGTTTTCTTGTATCTACGAACGCCAGAATGCATAAAATTGACCTAAACGTCTCCTTTTCCTATTCTGAGTCGATTCTGCATGCTTTAAGTGTGTTTGGTGGCTCAGAACCATCAAAAAATGTTGAAATATAGTTCAAATTCAATAAAAATCGACAAAAATACAGTTTCTAGCTAAAATTTGATGGTTTCGTTGCACTTTCCGAGCCCGTAGGGTATCTGAGTGGCTTAAAAGTACAAGAAAACACTTCAAAAGTGACGTTTCTGAAGAATTTTAACAGTTTTCTTGTATCTACGAACGCCAGAATGCATAAAATTGACCTAAACGTCTCCTTTTCCTATTCTGAGTCGATTCTGCATGCTTTAAGTGTGTTTGGTGGCTCAGAACCATCAAAAAACGTTGAAATATAGTTCAAATTCAATAAAAATCGACAAAAATACAGTTTCTAGCTAAAATTTGATGGTTTCGTTGCACTTTCCGAGCCCGTAGGATATCTGAGTGGCTTAAAAGTACAAGAAAACACTTCAAAAGTGACGTTTCTGAAGAATTTTAACAGTTTTCTTGTATCTACGAACGCCAGAATGCATAAAATTGACCTAAACGTCTCCTTTTCCTATTCTGAGTCGATTCTGCATGCTTTAAGTGTGTTTGGTGGCTCAGAACCATCAAAAAACGTTGAAATATAGTTCAAATTCAATAAAAATCGACAAAAATACAGTTTCTAGCTAAAATTTGATGGTTTCGTTGCACTTTCCGAGCCCGTAGGGTATCTGAGTGGCTTAAAAGTACAAGAAAACACTTCAAAAGTGACGTTTCTGAAGAATTTTAACAGTTTTCTTGTATCTACGAACGCCAGAATGCATAAAATTGACCTAAACGTCTCCTTTTCCTATTCTGAGTCGATTCTGCATGCTTTAAGTGTGTTTGGTGGCTCAGAACCATCAAAAAACGTTGAAATATAGTTCAAATTCAATAAAAATCGACAAAAATACAGTTTCTAGCTAAAATTTGATGGTTTCGTTGCACTTTCCGAGCCCGTAGGGTATCTGAGTGGCTTAAAAGTACAAGAAAACACTTCAAAAGTGACGTTTCTGAAGAATTTTAACAGTTTTCTTGTATCTACGAACGCCAGAATGCATAAAATTGACCTAAACGTCTCCTTTTCCTATTCTGAGTCGATTCTGCATGCTTTAAGTGTGTTTGGTGGCTCAGAACCATCAAAAAACGTTGAAATATAGTTCAAATTCAATAAAAATCGACAAAAATACAGTTTCTAGCTAAAATTTGATGGTTTCGTTGCACTTTTCGAGCCCATAGGGTATCTGAGTGGCTTAAAAGTACAAGAAAACACTTCAAAAGTGACGTTTCTGAAGAATTTTAACCCTCGAGCGGGCGCGCGTTCTGACATTCCAAGAGCGGGCGCGTCGTGTATTTTGTACACAATGAATAGATGTGTCGTTTAAATGTTAAATTAATGTTTTTTATTAAGTAGAAATGTTGACATTTCCTTTATCATTTTATTATTTCAATAATTAAACAACATATGACGCTTTAGATATAAAAATTTATTTACAAAATTTAACAAGAATGTAAGACAAAAATCAATCACTTTCGATTTATCTTTTCCTATAAAGTTGTCATTAGATGACATCAAACTAGTTCCAGGATCATTAGGAAAATCTTCTGTATTGCTACAGTCCGCGAGAAGTTCAATTTCAGATTCAGAGTCGTGACCACTGAACGCAACTACTTCTTCATCCGTTTCTGAAATATCTTCATTTTCTAATTCAGTTGGCTCCGTTTCTGAGTCTTCATCATGCAGAATTCTATACAGCTCATCATCTGTTAGGTAACGTCTTCTAGCCCTACAAAATTTATATAAGATCACAAAATTTATTGGCATTCAAAAACTTACATATTTTTAGTTCTTTTTCAATCGGTGTCTTATACAAAAATTAATAAAACGTCCCTTGAAAATCTGAATACAATAAAAATATGATTTTATAACTAATTAATTTCATGCAACAGGTTACTAATTGAATGAATATAAACAAATGTTGCGCTAAAAATGACAAAATATTAAATACTTACATCAGAAAGCGCGGCGTGTACTCTATACACAACACGGGAGAGATTCTTGTTTTTGCTAACTGTTTAGTTCTCACACTCACAAACAAAAGTTTTACTTGACCACTCGAAAGACAAAACTCGACTAGAGGAATACCTGAATCTACCCGACCGGATGTTGTATTATGCTAATTTTAGAACCAATAATCTGGTCACCGTGTACAAAATACACGTGCGCGCCCGCTCGAGGGTTTTAACAGTTTTCTTGTATCTACGAACGCCAGAATGCATAAAATTGACCTAAACGTCTCCTTTTCCTATTCTGAGTCGATTCTGCATGCTTTAAGTGTGTTTGGTGGCTCAGAACCATCAAAAAACGTTGAAATATAGTTCAAATTCAATAAAAATCGACAAAAATACAGTTTCTAGCTAAAATTTGATGGTTTCGCTGCACTTTCCGAGCCCGTTGGGTATCTGAGTGGCTTACAAGTACAAGAAAACACTTCAAAAGTGACGTTTCTGAAGAATTTTAACAGTTTTCTTGTATCTACGAACGCCAGAATGCATAAAATTGACCTAAACGTCTCCTTTTCCTATTCTGAGTCGATTCTGCATGCTTTAAGTGTGTTTGGTGGATCAGAACCATCAAAAAACGTTGAAATATAGTTCAAATTCAATAAAAATCGACAAAAATACAGTTTCTAGCTAAAATTTGATGGTTTCGTTGCACTTTCCGAGCCCGTAGGGTATCTGAGTGGCTTAAAAGTACAAGAAAACACTTCAAAAGTGACGTTTCTGAAGAATTTTAACAGTTTTCTTGTATCTGCGAACGCCAGAATGCATAAAATTGACCTAAACGTCTCCTTTTCCTATTCTGAGTCGATTCTGCATGCTTTAAGTGTGTTTGGTGGCTCAGAACCATCAAAAAACGTTGAAATATAGTTCAAATTCAATAAAAATCGACAAAAATACAGTTTCTAGCTAAAATTTGATGGTTTCGTTGCACTTTCCGAGCCCGTAGGGTATCTGAGTGGCTTAAAAGTACAAGAAAACACTTCAAAAGTGACGTTTCTGAAGAATTTTAACAGTTTTCTTGTATCTACGGACGCCAGAATGCACAAAATTGACCTAAACGTCTCCTTTTCCTATTCTGAGTCGATTCTGCATGCTTTAAGTGTGTTTGGTGGCTCAGAACCATCAAAAAACGTTGAAATATTGTTCAAATTCAATAAAAATCGACAAAAATACAGTTTCTAGCTAAAATTTGATGGTTTCGTTGCACTTTCCGAGCCCGTAGGGTATCTGAGTGGCTTAAAAGTACAAGAAAACACTTCAAAAGTGACGTTTCTGAAGAATTTTAACAGTTTTCTTGTATCTACGAACGCCAGAATGCATAAAACTGACCTAAACGTCTCCTTTTCCTATTCTGAGTCGATTCTGCATGCTTTAAGTGTGTTTGGTGGCTCAGAACCATCAAAAAACGTTGAAATATAGTTCAAATTCAATAAAAATCGACAAAAATACAGTTTCTAGCTAAAATTTGATGGTTTCGTTGCACTTTCCGAGCCCGTAGGGTATCTGAGTGGCTTAAAAGTACAAGAAAACACTTCAAAAGTGACGTTTCTGAAGAATTTTAACAGTTTTCTTGTATCTACGAACGCCAGAATGCATAAAATTGACCTAAACGTCTCCTTTTCCTATTCTGAGTCGATTCTGCATGCTTTAAGTGTGTTTGGTGGCTCAGAACCATCAAAAAACGTTGAAATATAGTTCAAATTCAATAAAAATCGACAAAAATACAGTTTCTAGCTAAAATTTGATGGTTTCGTTGCACTTTCCGAGCCCGTAGGGTATCTGAGTGGCTTAAAAGTACAAGAAAACACTTCAAAAGTGACGTTTCTGAAGAATTTTAACAGTTTTCTTGTATCTACGAACGCCAGAATGCATAAAATTGACCTAAACGTCTCCTTTTCCTATTCTGAGTCGATTCTGCATGCTTTAAGTGTGTTTGGTGGCTCAGAACCATCAAAAAATGTTGAAATATAGTTCAAATTCAATAAAAATCGACAAAAATACAGTTTCTAGCTAAAATTTGATGGTTTCGTTGCACTTTCCGAGCCCGTAGGGTATCTGAGTGGCTTAAAAGTACAAGAAAACACTTCAAAAGTGACGTTTCTGAAGAATTTTAACAGTTTTCTTGTATCTACGAACGCCAGAATGCATAAAATTGACCTAAACGTCTCCTTTTCCTATTCTGAGTCGATTCTGCATGCTTTAAGTGTGTTTGGTGGCTCAGAACCATCAAAAAACGTTGAAATATAGTTCAAATTCAATAAAAATCGACAAAAATACAGTTTCTAGCTAAAATTTGATGGTTTCGTTGCACTTTCCGAGCCCGTAGGATATCTGAGTGGCTTAAAAGTACAAGAAAACACTTCAAAAGTGACGTTTCTGAAGAATTTTAACAGTTTTCTTGTATCTACGAACGCCAGAATGCATTAAATTGACCTAAACGTCTCCTTTTCCTATTCTGAGTCGATTCTGCATGCTTTAAGTGTGTTTGGTGGCTCAGAACCATCAAAAAACGTTGAAATATAGTTCAAATTCAATAAAAATCGACAAAAATACAGTTTCTAGCTAAAATTTGATGGTTTCGTTGCACTTTCCGAGCCCGTAGGGTATCTGAGTGGCTTAAAAGTACATGAAAACACTTCAAAAGTGACGTTTCTGAAGAATTTTAACAGTTTTCTTGTATCTACGAACGCCAGAATGCATTAAATTGACCTAAACGTCTCCTTTTCCTATTCTGAGTCGATTCTGCATGCTTTAAGTGTGTTTGGTGGCTCAGAACCATCAAAAAACGTTGAAATATAGTTCAAATTCAATAAAAATCGACAAAAATACAGTTCTAGCTAAAATTTGATGGTTTCGTTGCACTTTCCGAGCCCGTAGGGTATCTGAGTGGCTTAAAAGTACAAGAAAACACTTCAAAAGTGACGTTTCTGAAGAATTTTAACAGTTTTCTTGTATCTACGAACGCCAGAATGCATAAAATTGACCTAAACGTCTCCTTTTCCTATTCTGAGTCGATTCTGCATGCTTTAAGTGTGTTTGGTGGCTCAGAACCATCAAAAAACGTTGAAATATAGTTCAAATTCAATAAAAATCGACAAAAATACAGTTTCTAGCTAAAATTTGATGGTTTCGTTGCACTTTCCGAGCCCGTTGGGTATCTGAGTGGCTTAAAAGTACAAGAAAACACTTCAAAAGTGACGTTTCTGAAGAATTTTAACAGTTTTCTTGTATCTACGAACGCCAGAATGCATAAAATTGACCTAAACGTCTCCTTTTCCTATTCTGAGTCGATTCTGCATGCTTTAAGTGTGTTTGGTGGCTCAGAACCATCAAAAAACGATGAAATATAGTTCAAATTCAATAAAAATCGACAAAAATACAGTTTCTAGCTAAAATTTGATGGTTTCGTTGCACTTTTCGAGCCCATAGGGTATCTGAGTGGCTTAAAAGTACAAGAAAACACTTCAAAAGTGACGTTTCTGAAGAATTTTAACAGTTTTCTTGTATCTACGAACGCCAGAATGCATAAAATTGACCTAAACGTCTCCTTTTCCTATTCTGAGTCGATTCTGCATGCTTTAAGTGTGTTTGGTGGCTCAGAACCATCAAAAAACGTTGAAATATAGTTCAAATTCAATAAAAATCGACAAAAATACAGTTTCTAGCTAAAATTTGATGGTTTCGCTGCACTTTCCGAGCCCGTTGGGTATCTGAGTGGCTTTAAAAGTACAAGAAAACACTTCAAAAGTGACGTTTCTGAAGAATTTTAACAGTTTTCTTGTATCTACGAACGCCAGAATGCATAAAATTTACCTAAACGTCTCCTTTTCCTATTCTGAGTCGATTCTGCATGCTTTAAGTGTGTTTGGTGGATCAGAACCATCAAAAAACGTTGAAATATAGTTCAAATTCAATAAAAATCGACAAAAATACAGTTTCTAGCTAAAATTTGATGGTTTCGTTGCACTTTCCGAGCCCGTTGGGTATCTGAGTGGCTTAAAAGTACAAGAAAACACTTCAAAAGTGACGTTTCTGAAGAATTTTAACAGTTTTCTTGTATCTACGAACGCCAGAATGCATAAAATTGACCTAAACGTCTCCTTTTCCTATTCTGAGTCGATTCTGCATGCTTTAAGTGTGTTTGGTGGCTCAGAACCATCAAAAAACGTTGAAATATAGTTCAAATTCAATAAAAATCGACAAAAATACAGTTTCTAGCTAAAATTTGATGGTTTCGTTGCACTTTTCGAGCCCATAGGGTATCTGAGTGGCTTAAAAGTACAAGAAAACACTTCAAAAGTGACGTTTCTGAAGAATTTTAACAGTTTTCTTGTATCTACGAACGCCAGAATGCATAAAATTGACCTAAACGTCTCCTTTTCCTATTCTGAGTCGATTCTGCATGCTTTAAGTGTGTTTGGTGGCTCAGAACCATCAAAAAACGTTGAAATATAGTTCAAATTCAATAAAAATCGACAAAAATACAGTTTCTAGCTAAAATTTGATGGTTTCGCTGCACTTTCCGAGCCCGTTGGGTATCTGAGTGGCTTAAAAGTACAAGAAAACACTTCAAAAGTGACGTTTCTGAAGAATTTTAACAGTTTTCTTGTATCTACGAACGCCAGAATGCATAAAATTGACCTAAACGTCTCCTCTTCCTATTCTGAGTCGATTCTGCATGCTTTAAGTGTGTTTGGTGGATCAGAACCATCAAAAAACGTTGAAATATAGTTCAAATTCAATAAAAATCGACAAAAATACAGTTTCTAGCTAAAATTTGATGGTTTCGTTGCACTTTCCGAGCCCGTAGGGTATCTGAGTGGCTTAAAAGTACAAGAAAACACTTCAAAAGTGACGTTTCTGAAGAATTTTAACAGTTTTCTTGTATCTGCGAACGCCAGAATGCATAAAATTGACCTAAACGTCTCCTTTTCCTATTCTGAGTCGATTCTGCATGCTTTAAGTGTGTTTGGTGGCTCAGAACCATCAAAAAACGTTGAAATATAGTTCAAATTCAATAAAAATCGACAAAAATACAGTTTCTAGCTAAAATTTGATGGTTTCGTTGCACTTTCCGAGCCCGTAGAGTATCTGAGTGGCTTAAAAGTACAAGAAAACACTTCA